ACTCTGTGATGTGAGATACCTTGGAAATTGCTACTCTCATATTAATAGGTACAAGGGATGGGGAAGCTTGTTCAAAGATGGGGAAAGGCAGATATTTTGTCATCATCATGGACACTGATCAGCTCCAGGAACTCCTGAATTAAACTGATTTTCCAGATCAGTTACAACCTGGTTTCAGACCGGCACTGAAACAGAAACTGCCTTGGTTGCCAGGAAGGTGACAGGAGCAATGCAACCCTTTTGGTTCTGATGGACCTCTTGAAGACTTTTGATGTGCATGTTCATGACATCCTTCTTGCTAGGCGTCCTGATGATGGAGCTCTGCCCTGACAGAGCTGTAATACGGCAGAAACTCAGGTCCATGGGCTAAATTTGACCTGCCTGGTGTACCAACCCAGTTGTCTAGTGTTTTCCAGGTAGATCTTGCCCTCCCTTCCACCACCAATTCTCCAGAATTTTCCAAGCTTTTGTGTTGCTTCCTCCCATTCTAAAACATTGTCATACTTCTCTTAATTGCTGGCTCCAAGCTAAAATATGTGGGTAGTTTTGGTATTTCAGTCTTTTTGTCACGTTGCCTTTTGCCTTCTGATCTGCCCAGTGCTGGAATGTGGCCACGAGAAGCTTTTCTAAAATCCTGCGTGGCCCTTGGGCTGCAGGAGGTACCATAATCCGGTGCAGCAATGGCATCCTCCTTCCTCAGTGCTCTGTTTTATGCTTTTCAAAGACTACATGGATTTGCTGGGCGAGGTCATCTGGGGATGTGGGTGGAGTGACACCCATTGCCACATCTCCCTTTCATCTCGTGCAGGTGAGACAGCTGATGTTCTGTACCAGGGCTTGGGTGTGGGACTGGATGGGATGAGGGTCCATGAAGTGAGAGCCTCCATCCAAACTGAATGGAGATGTCGTTTGTCTGTTAAGAGGTGCTGAGCCCTTTCTGGAGAGGGTGTGTGGATGGCACCTAATGTATCTGGTGTGAAGTGTGCTGTTAGTCCATCATAATGACTTTAAGCACAATGATTTAGAGCAATTGTTTGCCACCTTTCTCGTGCACTCCTTGGTAGCCCATTTCCATAAATTGTACCCTTCATATTAGCAAAATGTTTGCAATTAATATAGTTGTTCTTATTTCAAATTTATATGTCATACATGTAAATAAATAGGCCAATAATGGGATTAAAAGGCAATGGAATAATAAGATCAACAGTGCACACTTAATATACATCGGTACCAGTGTGACAACACTTGAATGTTTGCAAAACAGAGGAGAATGAAAACTGAGCCTGTGAGGGGTGTTTTGCTGAACATGTGCGCTGTAGTGATGTGTTTGCAACACTTTGTTTAAAGAGGGACTCCCCACCATTCACTAGAAGAACAAAGCGAGGGAACGGGGCTTTTCTCAGGGTTAAATAATGAAGAAAACCCGCTCCACCACTCGTCATGATGTTCCATTAATTTCACAACTTTTGACTTGTATCTTATCTTACACTGTTGATGTATGTGCCCTTTCCTGCCATTATTCAATTTTTTTTGCCTACCCCTGAATGTCCTGGTTTGTACCCCTATGTGTAGCCCTGGTGGGGAACCACTGGTTTAGAGCATCTTTTACTGGCTCGAAACTATATCACAATTTCGTGCTGTTAGAAATTTGCTCTGTTGTAGTTTTGCTGCTAATTTTTCATTTCATTATGTACTGTCTCTGCATTGTTTTTATTCCTTGGTGTTGATTTTACCATGCATTCTTTTTATCACTGTTTTATTGTTGTTTGCATGCCATGTTTTTAATTTACCTGTATTTTACCTAGCGAACACCAGGTAGTAAGCAATCTAAAAATATAGTTAGTTAATTAATTAATGGACAGGGTACTCGGAGACTTGGTTATGGACTTCATGATTACATGTGCAACTCTTGTATGTCCTAAACAAAGAAACTCATGGGACATTTTTTTTGGTGGTATTTATTCATTTAATGTAAAGTTTTTATAGACCGTCCCACTACTAACATCTTGTAAACAGCTTTATTTGTCATGTTTGGGATAATGAAACCCTATATAATAATAATAATCAATCATAGACTGTCAAAATCTAAATAGAAATACATATCATATCTTGGGTACACCATCACAGAAATGCCTGCGTTGCTCAATCCATTATGGTTATCTCAGTTGCAACTCCTGACATCATCAATATCACCAATTTATTCTCAGTAAAAGTTCCTAATGTGGATTAGGTACTGTACAAAAAGAGAGAAGTCAATCTTGGCTTGCAAGTTCTGAATCTAAAAGTGAGTTGGAGAGAAAGCTAGATGCTTTCTGTGAGTGAAGGAGATAGAGAAGGAGGGAGGAATTCAAGAACAAAACAATCCACCTTGGTTTTGGAACAAATTGTTTTACATCCAGAAGGACATGATCCAAAAGCATGGCAGTGAAGGGAATTTCATGATATTCTTTATATTGACCAATAATTAGGACTATTTAGGACTATTGATGTGGTCTACAAATTCTAAAATAAATAAAGAAATATGAGCAATGCACAAATGTGATGTTTGTCATTGTTAGTCTAATGTGCCATACATTATAATGTACACAGTGTCCTCTACACACACCATAGAGAACCACATACTTGACAGTAAGTGTAGAATTTTATATATGCTTAACACAAATGGAAAGGGGGTGCGCGTATCCCCCTGGTGCTTCAGATTCACCCCTGCTCTTCAAAAACATACATTTACACTCCTTTAAATAGCATCATTCCTGTGCCAAGTCACATGGCGCTCCCGGGCTGATCAGAGGGCCAACTCCAGAGTAGGCATAGTGGAATCTGCCAGTTTGCTATCTCCAAACATCAAATTAAAAATCTCAAGGTTTTCCTCTCCTCATTATGAAGATCTTTGCAAATTTTGGTAAAATCTTATAAAAATGAATCAAAACAAAAACCTCACCCATCTGCCAAATGTAGTACATGCAGCTATTCCAACCAGGGCATGTTGCTGTAACAGCCTAGCATTTAAAGATGAGCCTTTAAGGGGAATAGCAAGGGGAATGGCAATCAAACACTAACATGATTAAACACACAGGAATTCAAGCCCAGACTTTAAAAAGCTAAGTAGTGAGAGCTCCGGGTCTTGACAGATGCATCCATCAATTTCAATTTCTCCCACATACATTTTTTAAAAATCTCACATTCTTTTTATCTCCAATATGAAGAATTTGTAAAGCACGACGAGGTGCAATGGAACTGTTCATCTACAAAATAGGATTTAAAGAAACTGATTTTAAGCCCTGATGGTTGTTGATCATGAATCAATTAATTGTTACATTTGCATACTGCCCCATAGCCCATGGGGCTCCCTGCATTGTTTACAGATTTTAAAAAAGGACGATGATTTCTATGTGCTTTTAAAAATGGGGACTGGGGCATGCTCAGGAAAGGGTTTAGTGAATTCAGTCAGTATTGCAGATGAGATGATTCTGGGTGAGTGTTTTAAAATATTTATTTATTTATTTATGGTGGCAGGGGACATAATTTAATGGCAAGTAGCAAAACCTCCTGTATCCAGACATGAATAAATTCTGACCCTGGTTGTTACAGCTTAGCCACTACCTCCATGATGAGTGCAATTCATCAGAACAACTCATGCATTTCATAACTGCTGCCTTTCTGTCACAATCAAACAGGTGGCTGTTAGGGCCTGTTTTCTAGATCCTATTCTCTTGTCCTCTGAATAGCAATTTTTACTATCCATTTTTTCAATCAAGTACCTTATTCTATCCATTCCACAGTTGTTTGTCTACCCATCCATGCTTTGTAATCTACCTCCTCATTTCTGTCTGACACACACAAATACACTCAAAAGCCCATTTTTCTGCCTGCCCACAGTGCCAAAGGAACAAAAAGGAGAGAGAAGAGGAGCTAGCGCCTGATGTGCTGCATGCAAGTTCATGCCATAATTAACTTGTCTGTCTAGAAGAAGTTCTAACGTATTGATTCTCCTGCTGCTGTTGCTTCCCCCAGCAGTTCTTGAGCTTTGCCATCCACAATCATCCGTTGCCACCCAATATAGCTGGGAGCTGCAGGCCTCTGTCACCTTTTTGTCTCCTTCGGGTAATGATCCAAAGTATAAGGAGAGGTGTCCCACGCCACTTTGCTGTCCTTCACCTGTTCATCAGCAGTGGATCTTCATCCTCTCTGAGCCTGGCTTCCCAGTCAAAGACTCCTGTGATGCTGTAGCCAGATCCTTGGTGAAAGGAACTGCTTTGGTTGCAAAGTGTCAGGCTCCTCTGAGAAGAACTTAGGCATATCCTCTCCAGCAAAGGCGTTTTTTTGGTTTGTTTTTGTTTACAAAGGTAAATGCAGATCCTCTGTGAACTGCCAAGTTGAGAAATGACTCTGAAGGAGCCAAAGGCAATTTTCCACATAGAGGCAGATTTAGGGTATAATTGTGGGCGTGCTCTTGGAATTGTGAAAACCATGCTCTTGTTTGGCATTCTGCAAAGTGGCTGCCTGCCATGGGACTCTGCAATTAGAAATGCAGATGAAGATATGGAGCGAGATAGGACCTCCATTGAGAAGAAAGGGTGATGCTCCCGGTGTCAATTAAAGAGTCTGCTCCTCAGACACAATAATCATGCCTAAGACATCTTAGTCATGAGGGATATTGCATGATCACTAGTTTTCTGCATCATAGTCATCTTCATCATCTCGTTTCTTTTTTATGGCAAGGAAGGGGTGTGCTAATGGGTAGGGTCAGTGTTTGGTAACTGGAGATGAAGATCTGTCAACCACACCAAACTCATGAACACAATAAAATGATATCTTCCTTCCCGCCCATGCAAAATCAAACTCAACACCTCCCTGAAACACATATAAGGGAGGCATTTTGCAGCATTGGATTCAGAGGGACCTGATTCCCTTGGGCTCGGTGTACATCCTTTCCTTCTTGCATTGCAGCTACAAGCCTTGATAACTTTCTCTGCTACTTATTTGGCTTTGACACAACAATGTCTCTAGTGCAGACCGTCTTCCAATATGCCAAAGGGGGCAGAAGGGGCTTCAGCTCAAGTTCTGCTGTCGGTGGAGGAAGCAGACGTAGCTACACTTCATGCAGGGGATTTGGTGGTGGCATGAGAGGCCAGTATGGCAGCAGAAGCCTCCATAATTATGGTGGAAGTACAAGGATTTCCTATGGACGAGGCTATGGAGGCAGCTTTGGTGGCTACGGAGGTAGATTTGGTGGTGGCTATGGTGGTGGAATCTGTGGTGGCTATGGTGGTGGAGCAATATGTGGTGGCTTTGGTGGTGGAGAAATCGGTGGTGGTTTTGGTGGTGGTCCTTATGGTATTGGCATGGGTCCTGGAGGCATCAGCACGGGTTCTGGAGGCATCGGCAGTGTCCAAGTAGATAGAGACCTTCTGCGGCCAGTCCGTGTTGACATTGACCCCCAAGTCCAGCAAGTGAAAACTCAAGAGAAAGAGCAGATTAAGATGCTCAACAACCAATTTGCCTCCTTCATTGACAAGGTGAGTTATCAGAACAGTGAGTTTGAGTGGTCTCCTAGAATGCATGTTGGCTGAAAAAAATGTGGTTAATTTCTCTGTTTTCACTCAGGAAATATTTGAAATGTTGCCTTTTGCTTTCTATGTTTATTGGTCTTGCATGAATTAGAGAGTAGGTGGAATTATTTCTCTGTAAAATGCCTTTTGAAGATTTGGAGAGTAAGATGTGTCTGCTTATATGGCATTAGTTCCATCAAGTCCTTCTAGTTCAGCTTCCTAAAAGCTAGCAAATCAGTTGAGACCGTTCGCCACAAAAGGTTTTCAGTGCTTTTAATACAGACGTGTGTGGAAGCAAGGAGTGAAGCGGGGAAAATGTTGGAAGTGTTTGCACGAGCAGACAGATTCTCAAAGTGAACCTTGGGTCTTGAAAAGGGCTGCCGGTTTTAAAAATGGGTATGTGTGAAGGTATGAATGGGATTCCTCTTTTTAAAAAGGAATAAGTGATATGGCAGATGCATGACTTTGAATTTGATCCATCTTTTGAGCATTTGGTGTGGGCTAAATAATGAGAAAGAAAGGAAAGGAAAACACTTGAACGAAGTGGTAGAGGGGGTCAAAGCCAAAGGAAGTGTATGGACATGGTCCTGGAGGAATATTCTGAAGCTTGAAACATTGGCCAGATTTGGGCTGCAGGAAAAATAATGGTTGATTAAGCATATTTTTGCCTGTAGCAAAATGCAAAGGGATTTGTAGAGTTCCTCATAAGACTGAAAGGATTTTAAAGGAAAGCAAAACCGTTTTGGCGTGACTAGTGAAATTTCTAACTAGTGTTGGGCATGTGGCTAGGTTGTTTCAATGGATGATAGTCAATGCAGGCATTCCTCAATGCCATGTGAACATATGAAGAGGCCCTGCACTGAAGCCAACTAGCCTAGTCCAACTGGGTGCCCTCACGATGCTTTGATTTCAACTCTCAACACCCAAAGCCAGCATGGCTACTTGGGAGGTGCTGAGAGTTGGAGAGTGCCATGTGTGGGAAGGAGTTTCCACACTGACTGGTAATAGCTTTCCAGGATCTCATTTCTGTCATGGCTACATCAGATACTTTCATTGGATACTCAAAGGATTGGGCATGGGATTTCCCCAAATATCTTATGAAGACTGCTAGTATTCCAAAACCTTGGGTAGTCAGCCCAGCCAGATAGGCGACCATGCATTGCTGGCCTATAAAAGAGTCAGTATTTGCATATTTTCCCTGAGGGATCACCTGGAGGAAATGCTTACTCACCCTGGGTGACCAGGAAAGCAGTTGCTTACAAGCCTGACTAACATGACCTCCAAAGCACATGGGAGGGTTCCTCACTAAGCAGAACTTCTGCTGCATATCACTGAAAGCCGAAGAATAGTTGGTGCAGCTATTGGAATTCTAAGGTGGGGGGTGTTCACAGATCCCTCAAATTCTGACCAAAAAATGACCCATATTTCTAATTCTCCTATTTTTCCTTCACAAAACAATTGGTGGTGGGGACAGGGGGTAGTTTTTGTGTGCTCAGCCAATTTGCCCATGGGCCTAAAGTGAAATTCAGTTGTTTGTGTACGGACTGCTTTTGCTGTCAATATCTACAACCTCCAGGTAGAACCCCAAGGTGCAATGGTGGAGAACCACTCCAATGGCTATAAATCTGTTTCTTGGGTTTCAGGTCCGATGTCTAGAGCAACAAAACAAAGTACTGCGAACCAAATGGCAGATCTTACAGCAACAGATTCCAGTTCAAGGCCCACGGCAGAACCTGGATGCCGAGTTTCAGAATTTCATGAATGACATTAGAAGGAACATCGAACAAATCCGTAACCAGAAGGCACAGCTGGCATCAGAACTTCAGAGTATGCAGGGCTACGTAGAAGACTTCAAGAACAAGTAAGCAGTGAAGGAACCCGACAGGCCTGACTTCCACAGCTTGGTGGAACTTTCTTGTGCTTCAAGGACAGCGTGTCAGAAGCTACTGGCTAAGAGCAGTTCTTCAGAATACTGGCATGGCTGCAACTCTGCAGCAGGTCTGGGAAACCTGTGGCTCCCTAGATGTTATTGGAATTCAACTCCCATCTGGACGAGATGGCATGACCAATGGTCCAGGGTGATGGGAGTTGTAGTCCAAAGCACCTGTAAGCCAGTGGTCTCCCAAAACTACTGTGAGGTGTTTCAAGTGATCCTTCTCCCTCCCCTCCCGCTCCCTCTCCCCCATGCCCAAACAGTAATATATACAATTGAACACTAGATAAACTGAATGTGTCTTTTTCATTTTGCTTAAAACAGGTATGAAGAGGAGATTAACAGGCGCACAGGTGCTGAGAATGACTTCGTGGTGCTGAAAAAGGTGAGCAGAAGAATTCAGCAGTGTACTGTAAACAAAGAACACCGAGGGGGTTGGTGGTAGAGCTGCATCGGACATGGATGTATTTTGGAGCTCTTATGAGCCAGGCCCCTGTGCCAGAAATTGTGCCAGAATGCATCCTGTAAGAAACTCTCCTTGTGTGTGGGAAATGAATGTGTCAGGAGAAGGGTAAGCTATCAGTTGTCTTATGCACATGCTAGCTTTCTATGTCAAGGGAGAATCCACAGATTTGGAGGGGGAAAACAAAAATATCCCATGCATTTGGAAGTGCTGGGCAACGGTGGGGGGACTGCATCATGTTGGAGCATCTTTGATGGCCTCTTGGAATATAACAGACTGCCCATCTGCATCCCACACCGATTCCATTGCAGTGCATCTGAGAAATGTGAGGCATTATGGGGGAATCGTGGGGGCACCGTGCCCATGCGTGAAAGGCGTGCACGGACTCCATACCAGGGGGCAGCTTCTGCTAAACTACTGCTTCCCATGCATCCCGTTTTGTAGCCACTTCTGTTCTCACATGGAAGGCACTAGGGAGTCTGAGCATGCCTTGCCGTCATATCCTCCAAAGCAGAAGCCCCGTCCTCTTCAACCCAGATGCGTAGTGAGTCTCTGTGCTCTGTTGTCCCGTGAAGTGCAAAAGAGAAAGCTGTGCATAGTTAGATGCAATCTCGCTCATTATTTCTTCATAAGCTCCTGGCCCTGGGAGCAGAATCTCAGGCTGGGCCTGCTGAATCATCACTGTGCAGCTCAGCAGGGAGCCTGGGTATTACATGCACATGCCAGAAAGCTTGCCTGTGCAGGGCAGTCCATGAGGAAACTTAGCTTGTCTTCTCTTTGATCCTTCCTCTAGGACGTGGATAGTGCCTACATGCAGAAGTCTAACTTGGAAACTAGAGTTGGTGCTTTGGCTGAACAGATAGACTTCATGAAAAGGATGTTTGAACTGGTAAGTAATGAAGATTTCCAGTCCATCTGTTAGCAGGATCAAGCTGGCATGTTCAGAGGTGGATGGACTCTAGTGTCTTTTTCAGAACCCAAACTCAAATCTGTGTTCAGATTCACCTGATTTTTCTCTTTAAAACAAATGACCCTCCTGCCACTTTCTCTAGTCTTTCAATCATGCAATCACTCTGTCTATTGATCATTCTCTCATGCTGTGTCGCTTATCGTTCTACAAAACGATATCACAAAAAGAAATCTTCTACAAAAAGAAATAAAGGAGTCCAGTTTGGCACATTCCTTTTTCAGAAGGGCTTACCTTTTTGCTATATAATCTGAGGGCTCAGAGTTGGTATAGTATTTTATGAAAACACATGCCAACACCTACAGATAAGACACAGATTAAGAAAAAAGTTAAAATTGCTGTGAAGACTATAAGAGAAGCCCCTGAATCAGGGCAGAATCTTCCTACAACTGAAGCAAGGGTGCGCTGAACTCTACAGATATGCGTATGAACTCAGATAAACATTATCTAACTCCAGAAGAATGCATTCAGTGGAGCTAGATGTCGCATAGAAGTACATATGCAGTGAATTAGGAAGAGGTGGCATCAGTGGAACACACTGCAACCCATGGCTGACTAATTTTTGGTCCCTTGCAGGAACTATCTCAGATTCAGAGAATCGGTCAAGACACCTCTGTGGTTGTGAACATGGATAACAATATAGATATTAACTTAGAAAGTATCATTGATGAAGTAAGAGCTCAGTATGACCAGATTGCCTTTGCTAGCCGAGCCGAAGCTGAAACTTGGTATAAAACTCAAGTAAGTAATCAAGCTGATCCAAGTAAATAAGTAAATGTACTTAGACTTTCTCAAGAAGGTGGTGCTTTTCTCTCCAGGGAAAGTCTTCCTAGGAGGCTGGACTTGAGAACTGTGAGAGCTTGATTTGTACTTCCTGCAAAGAAATGGAGGATACATCCCTGCTACACTTGACTGCATTAGGGTGCAATCCTAGGTATACTTAGACGGAAAAATGGCTTTTGACTTCCAGAATTCCACAGCCCACTGGCTTGCAAATGCTGGGAGCTGAATGACTTTTTTTCTGTTTAAACTTAGCCATAGGACTGCACCCTTAAACCATTGCTTACTTTCCCCATGGGGTCCTGGAAATTCTAGTTTTCTGAAGGGTGGAAGGTAACTGTGCACCCCTAAAAGTGAATGTTTAGTGCATTCACCAAACTAAATTTCTCAATATGTCTTGGTTAGTGGCATAAAACTGAGAGCTGCTTGTGATGCAGACAAACCTTGAGATGCTGGTCAAAAATTAACCAAAGCTGGGTCAGCCACTCCCAGTGTTGCCGCCCCAAACAGCCACCCAGCCCAACAACTGGCAGGTGCACCTTCTTTTCCAAAGATTGCCTTTCCTCAAATGTCACTACTGCTCCTGTAATTGTAAGGAGATCTTTTTTCCTCAATGATGCTATAAAAATCTGTGGCACCAGTTTGAATGTCTGTTAGCATCTGGAGGGATGAAAGACCATGAAAGCTAATTTGACAAATGTTGATACATCATTTTTTCAAGTCCCCAGCCATACTCAGCTAATCACACTTCATGCTGAAACTTATTTAATAGTTACTCCTTCCATGCAAGAGGCTCTAAGCTTGGGGGTTTGGAGTAGGGGCATCTCCATGAGTCTTCCTCAACTACAGTTCTCAAGAATGCTTTGGAGATGTTACAATGCTTAAAGTGGTGTGTAAGGTCAATCTAATTCAGTATTGTAACTAGATGTCCGTCGCATTTTGCTCCTCCCCGATTGCCCGCATACGTGGCCTAATGTGGTGCATTGGAGGGGCCTTTGTTGCTTTCATTGCTCTGAATGCTGCTGCTCTCTGAACCTGTGCTCTCTGCCCAAAAGTATGATGCTTTGCGGAACACAGCAGGAATGCATGGGGAGAACCTTCTCAACACCAGGCACGAGATCCAGGAACTGACCAGGAACATCCAGAGACTGCGTGCTGAAATCGAGCATACCAAGAAGCAGGTATGGACGGCGAGTTTTCCATTGGCTGAGGTTTGAAACATGGCTTCCCTTTGGGGAATCTGTGTTCACACCATGGATGTAGAAATGGGGGAGCAGCCCTATCTCAGTGGCTCTTGGTGGAAAGTCACAGACAACTCCATGTGTAAGTGTTTCATTACATCTAAGGCAGCCTTCCCCAACCTAGTGGACTACTACGCTTCCTATCCTGAGAAATGATAGAAGCTATATTCTTGCACATCTGGGGAATTTGGGAGCTGTAGTCAAACACAGCTGGAGGACTCCAGCTTGGAAAAGTCTGATCTAAGGGTTGGGCAGAAACTTGGAGAGCCAGTTCTGAGAACAGATAGTATCCTGATTCAGGAGCTTCACACATTCATCCCTTGATGCTGTTCTGGTTCCTCTGCAGTGTGGGGTAGCCTTTGATGCAGGGCTTGTCTAGACAAAGTCGGTGAATCTGTTTTGAAGATCGCTATGGGAAATGTTGGGTATACAGATGCAGTGTTAACTGGATGCCCAAGACAACAGCAGCTGCCTTCTTTTGCCCAAGCTACAAAACAAACAGTCTTATTGCCTCTGCAGTAAGCACAGAAAAGAACCTTCCCTTGTGATGACAGAATTCACATGTAGAGTTGCATGTAGGTCCATCTTAGTTTCAAAGGGGTCCTCTCCCTGGGCTTTTGGGGCAGTGTCTTTGCAAAGGGTCCCAGGAGGTTTAACCCCAAGCTCCTTGTTCAAAGGCAGAAGAGCCCAAAAGGCAGGAAGAAGCATCAGCCCCACAGAATTCCCATTTGGATGTTTGGTTTTAACCCTCCTATCCCAGGAAGTTTGCACACAACAGGAACCTGGGAAGGATAAAAAAGAAGAGGCTTCCAAGTGCAGGTGGAACATTGGCCCCTCATCACTGAGCAACCACAACCATCCTCATGTGCCTGAAAGATGGGAATGATTTCCAGGGCAGAGGCCATGGGAGATCATGAAGTTTGGAGGCACTGCTCCATTTCCCCCCCATCAGTGTTCTCAAACAGAGAGATGATGGGCCCTGGCTGATCTACAGATTCGTCCCTCTCACCCTGCAACAGTCCTCTCTGACTGACTGGGGGAAAAACTGTGCTCACTAGCTCATACAAGTCCCCTCCTTTCTTAAGATCTTGGATGGGTTTCCCCCCACCCCCCACCCAGGACTGAGACCTGGTGAACTCTAGGTCACATCAAGCCTTGAACAAGAAACTTGTAGTGGAAATGCAAAGGTTTTCATGTCCCTTTTCCTCTTGCAGTGTGCTCAGCTGCAGTCAGCCATCGCTGAAGCTGAGGAGCGTGGTGAGTTAGCTCTCCGGGATGCTAGGCAGAAACTGGACGAGCTGCAGTGTGCCCTGACAAAGGACAAGGAGGAGCTGGCTCGCCTGCTGAAAGAGTACCAAGACACGCTGAACGTTAAGCTTGCTCTGGACATTGAGATAGCCATGTATAGGAAGCTGCTCGAAGGAGAAGAGTGCAGGTATGACTCTTGCCCTTTCCCTAAAAGAATGTTATGTTTTTAATGGGGCCAAATGGTACTTTTGTAGATATCATTGGACAGCAAAACAGTTGTCAGGTCTTCAGTGAGGATGCAACTAATGTGTGCATATTTAACACCTGCTGTTGGGGAGCTAATCTGGTATGGCTCCAGACACCCTTGGAAAACGTTGTGTCTCCCATTGTGTTGTACATGCTTGCTTGGATTATCTGGTGGGAGGTTCTCTCTACCCTGCTGGTGTCCCATTCATCTGAGCATGTGGGTGGATCTGCAGGGAGGGAGAAGTGGGTGAAGGTCTAGACTTGCTAGGAGCACATGGACCTAGACAAATTTGGTCCCTTGTAAGTTGCAACTCGTAGTTCTTAGGACCATAAAGGCTAGATAGGGGCAGGCAACAACCATTCCTAGGGCTGTTGAGTGGTTATGCTTTCAGCAAAGGAGAATTTATTTAGATGAATGACCTATGTTTCTTGCTTCTACACAGGCTAAACGCCCAAACCCCAGTCCATGTCTGTAAGTAACTTCTGCTTTCCTCTTATCTGATGCTAACATTTTTAAGTGAAGAAGGTGCAGTAATTGAACATGTACTTCCTCCGCAGCTGTTACTAGTACTGGTTATGGCGGTGGAATTGGAGGCGGCATGGGCATCGGAGGCGGCGGCATGGGCATCGGAGGCGGTGGCATCATCGGAGGTGGCGGAATCGGCATTGGAGGTGGCGGCATTTGCAGTGGCGGCGGCATCGGCCATGGCAGCATCATTGGCGGTGGAAGCTGTGGCTATGGTGGCATTTCCGGTGGCAGCTCTTCCTGTGTTGGAGTTGGTGGATTCTCACATGGATCAGGAAGTGGTTCCAGCACAGTCATAAAGAGAATCACCACAACCTCCTCATCTACCAAAACAGGCAGGAAGTATTAAGAGTCCTGGCAAGTACCCAAAAGGAAAACAAGATCTTTTAGCATCTAGTGGTAACAGCACAACACCTTCAGCCCCATCCTGAAAGGAAGACATTGTGTCCTTGAAAGCACAAGATCATATCCATTTTCTCCCCTGCAAAAAAACCTCCCCTTAAGGCAGTCATCTTCCATCTTGCTTCTGTCTTCCATGGCTTAGATGACCAGTGGTGGAATGTACCAGTAGAGAATGGCAATGAAATGTGCTGATGGTATTGCATTTGAGGATATCAGTTAGCAGAGAGTTGCTTGGGAGGCAAAAGGGAGATCTGTAACTCATGGATCTGGGCTGTACTTCTTTCAGTATGCTGTATATTTTTAGCTTTTTAGGTAGCTGCCAAGCTGCAATGTGTCTAAAAGTGAATTTTCCTTTTTTTATCTTGAGGCTTCTTCCTCCAATCACTTGCTTTTCTCAGGTGTTGTAGTAGTTCCCTGCTTTACAGAAGACTTTATTGGTTTCCCCTGTACTTGTCTATGTTTATGTTGGACAAGTCAAAAGTCATGAGGCTGAAATGCTACTGTTCTTATCTGCCGAGGGTGATGCAGTGAGGCAGAACATTTCCCATAACTAAACCAATGTTATGCTCAATATCCAAGCTAGGAGAGCAACATGCTACTGCCTAAGCAACTGTTAATGATAATTGCCCAGCTATGACATCGGAATCACAAATGAAAATGTTTGTTCTTGTACCAGTTTTGCAAATTACCTTGCACCTCTCTATTTCTTGCGGTTTGCTTCCCATTCTCTTGGGCAGTGACCATTTTCAATAAACTGCAGTCAAGTCAGATGTGGTCTTGATTTTTTAATTGGCACAATTGTTTTAATTTAAGGCTAGCATTAATTTGGGGAATTCTCATCCACCACCTCCTCACTCAAAAACTCTTGCTCCCAAGTACTGGGCTTGGAAAAATGTGCAGAAATACTGAATTTGGGCAATTCCAATGTATGTGTACTGTCACTCATCAACCTTTACATATTTATATATTTAGTTCATTACATGTGAATAATGTTAGATATGTACACAACACCTATTGAATGTATGAATGAATAACTATATATGTACAGATCAACAAGCTGCACACACACTAAAATACACTCATGGTGACAGTAATAATCATATATTTTCTTTTACTATAAATGCCTAGGTTATACCATAATCAAAAAAACATATTACCAAAAAGTCTCAAAGAAACCAATTTCTAGAAGCATTAATAATAGTACGTAGAACTAGACAGCCATGCATGTTAGAGCTGAATGTGATGGGGTTCTCTACATTCTTTCTCAAAGTTCATTTTGCCCCATTTATATTCCCAAATATGAGTCTTTCTTTTGGTGGGGGTGTGTGGGGATGTAGATTTTTTAAGCATGCAATTTTCCCAATAGAAATAAAAATGCATCTGTCCTGATGCACATCCCCCATAGGTTAAAGTGTGAAAATACAAATGGAGGGGGTTTATGCATTTCTGGAAATGCACAGGTGTGCACTCTGAATGTGAACACAAGTTTTGAAAATGGTTAAAATTTCCTGAGAATTGTGTTTCCTGCTCCCATTGACTTCAAATCCAATGTTATGAATGGGGCATAAACACATGACTCATGAATAGGAGCAAAATCCTCATACCCCTCTACAACTAAACAACTAAAAACAGCCCCTCCCATTGTCTCTTCATATTGCAAGAGCTTTATGAAACTTGTTTGGCTGATTTCCGACTGCATTCATCCTCTTCTCCACTGTCCCACATGCTTACTGAAGACACTTCATGTTGCTGAACACACACAATTGCAGAAAATTGAGTGCAGAATTCTGATCTCAGAAAACTCCTCTCTGCAACTCTGTCATCTCCAACAGATTCAGTATCTGTCCCCTTTGAATTCAGTAAACTGGTTATCCTGTTTCTCATCACATTCTTTTCTTCCTCCTTCCGTTACACCGCTGTTAGGCATCTGACAGCATGGCAAGCCTTCATACCTCCAAAAATTACTTCCCTGGGCATGGCTTTCAACCCCAGGAAGCATCAACTTCAACAGACCTTCCAAATGACTAGGTTGGTGGAAATATTTGCCCATTTCTGCATAGAGACAAAGCTGCACAAGAGACCACAGAAACCTTCACACATCTATGTGATGGGAAAGTAAGCTGACCAGACTGTCAGATCACTTATTTTTCCAGAGCAGAATCATTAAGAGAACTGTGCAGAAGGGCTGGCCACTCTCAACGATCATTTTACACCCATGCCAGGTGGGAGCCTGTTTACAAGAGGGTCTGTTTCCATCAGAAAGTTGAAAGCCCTGGGGAGTCAAAGAAGCATAGGATGGCAGAAGTGGAAGGAGCCAAGACGCCATCTGGTTCAAGCTTCTGCTTAATGCAGAACTTCAAGCAGAACTTCAAGCACAGTCCTTTAAAAGAGGCCTTTATGAGAAACTGGAAAACTGTGATTTGGGAGGGAAAAAGGAAGTGCATGCAAGAGGCAGGACAGTGTTAGGCTAGCATACATTTTGGCCTGGCTTCTTTGGAATAATCTGACAAAGCTCCATTATACCTGCTTTGTTGGACAAATTTTTACCCTCTTTTGCCTGCATGGTCTGTGGATTATAATAACTTGGAATCAATCAGCCTGATCACTGCTAGTTCTCCTCTGGCTCACCAAGAGCCTGTGGGGCTAGTTGAAGCCTCTGGGGATAGGGAGGAGATACCAGACACAAGATTGCTGCCACGTCCTTAAGAATTCCATGGAGGTCTCCCCTCTCTGGAGTCAGGGTTCACAGAAGGGAGAAACACACCATACAATTCAGCCTTAGTGTTACCAGTTTTCGCCTCCTCTGCACAGTCTCCACATGCAGGCCCTGCCCTACACTCTTGCTATGATCCTGTATCATTCATGGGATTGCATGGGTCATGACTGAAATGTCAGTTCTAAAATTACATTTTCCAAAATTAGGCTCTCACTCAGCTCCTAAGGCACGCACCTGCATGCACTGATTTTGGGGCAAATTTTGTTTTTGATAACCTCTAGCCGGAAGAGGATTCCTACAAATGTTGTGGACTTTTCCTTTTTAATCTATTCATGCGTCCCAAGAAAAGGATTAGCCTGTCACTGATTAAATTATTTTGTCCTAACAGAGCAATAGGACAACAAACATCTTCTATACATTTTCTATGCATTTCACTTCAAAGCTTTGTAAGTCACATCTGTCAGCATCTTTGCCGTGGGAGGGGTGGAAAGGGTCCACATTCACAAGCCCTGTTTTCGTGAACAGCTGAACAGCTGAACTCTGGGTCACTCTGGGTCACTTTGTAAATTTGCCCACTGCTCTACACAAATAGGGACAAGGGACTTGAGGTGCTAACAGGAGAAACATTCCATATGTGGCACCCAACTTTTGGCTAAGTACTTAAAAGTAGGTTAATGAACTCAGCATTTCATGAATAGGAAGAACCTCCAGGTGGCTTCCAAAAGTAACAGCAATCAGTCTGGCCTTATTGCACCTCTGGGTGTGCCGCCACATTTCTTTTAATGCATGCAACAGTTTTGCAGCTGGTGATATCACCTTTTACATCTGCAAGCAAGCTTCTGTTAATTGGATGATGACAGAAAGTGCCAGATGCGAAGAAGAGCCGTGTGTTGCTAGCCTTCAGCTTTTACTATCCAAATCTTGCAACTAGCAGAGGGTAACAACAGCAGAGGCATGAGCGGTCAAGTACATGTGCCAAGTTTTGGACTGTTGCTCATGGTCTATTCTAAAACATCAACCACCCCTGCCCCTGCCGTTGATTTAAGCATTTTGGAGATTCTTGCTTTGAAAGTAGATCCCATGCTAATATAATCAGGGAAAAAATGAAATGGCAGAGAGATGTACTGGTCTTAGGTGGAATGCTTCTATTCCTGCGCAGTCTCACTACCTTTTTTTGGCCATGGGTTGCTTGCATTGTTCCCACAGAAACAGGAGTGAAAAAGATGGATGTGGCATGGTACAGATGACACACTGCATGGAGAGAGCCCAAGCTGTCCTGTTTCTAAAGGAACAAAGAACTAAGCAAGATCTGATGTCTGATTTGCTGACTGGGATCTCTATTTAAATGCCCTCATGCATGTGTAGTCCCACCAACTCTGCATGTGCTTTACTCCAGATCAGGATTTTTACACCTCTTCAAAGTAGGCCTCATAGCAACACAAGTTTGTTATTTTCAGTTGGTGGAAAATGTGGTTTGTCCTCTTTTTAAAAATCTGATTTATTTTTTCAGAGCTGCATGAGAAGCAGAAATTCCAGCTAATGCTGTTGCAAGTGCACAGTCACAGTACTGGGGAAAGTATCACCTGCCTCATTTAAATCATCTTTCCTGCAAATTATTATTGCTGAAAGAGAGGAGAGTCAAAACAGAGGGCTCAAGTTAGCAAGAGAGAAAGGGAAAGAAAGCAGACTTGCACACATGCTCTGTTATTATATCATCTGCATATAATAATTTGTTTCTCGGGAATGGTGGCATGCTTCAACGTCCCTTTAATTAAAGAGAATAGTCCAATGGGTTGGCTCATTGGTTGGGGCAGGCCCAATGTACATGGTACATACAGAGTGCCTTGTTGCCTTGGAGACTGCAAAGGCAGCCTCTAGGTGAGTGTGATGGGACATGCGAGTCCCTCCCCGCATTCCCCCAGTGTGTGAAGGGCTTACAAATTATTTCCAGTGAGTCAGGGACATAGTCCCATGACCTCTCCGAGACCCTGAGAGGCAGAATGACCTGAAGAACTACAGCTTTGACCTGGGAGACCTTAATTTCCAGGAAGAGACCTCAGAAGTTCTGTCTCCATGGTGAGAAGCCTTGGTGGAGCCCCTCAGGAGGAACCCCTTCCAAATCTGAGGAAGAGGAGGGCAATTAAGATGACCAGGGACTGGAAGCAAAGTCCTGTGAGGAGAGATTGAAAGACCTGGGCATGAGGGGAGAGATGATAGCACTTGTTACGCAGTTACTATGCAAATACTGTGCTTTTAACTACCAATGGTAATATTGCACTGCTTTATACTTTCTACTTCGTGTTCTTACCTTTGACCCGGATGCAGTAATACAGCCCTTCATGACTCCTCAGACTAACAGCTTGCAGTGCCATTAGTTCTATACATGAAACAGCACTCTGCAAGTACCACAGAGGAGGGCCAGGATCTCGTCTTGCTCATCCCAGAGTGCAGGACATGGAAAAAATGGGCTAATGCTACAAGAAGCCAAATTCTCGCTGGAGATCAGGAAAAACTTGCTGACAGAGCAGTATGACAATGGGAACAATTGCCTGGGGAGGTGGTGGGCATCAGTCAGGGATGCTTGGAGGCCTGCATTAAGCAGGGTGTTGGACTCAATGGCCCTGTAGGCCCTTCCAACTCTGCTATTCTATGAACTCCTGAAAACCATTCGTTTTTGGCGACTGGGCTATTTTAGAAACAGCATGTTTGGTGGCTGCTTTGACTTGTCTCCATCAACAAAGAAATTTAAGAAGCATTTGGTTAGGAATCTATTTCCTTTTTTCTTGAAGGAAAGAAAGGAAATACAGCTTGCTGGGTTTAGTTCTGCCACTCCCAGAAATTACAAGGTGGGCCTCCATAGATGCGCTTGATCAGAGAAAACTGTAGAAATGCATGAAAAGAAAAGAAAAAGTCCAGAGCTTCTAAAAACATTTCTAGCTGACAGTTTGTCATTTTTAATTGAGAGGAATAATGCAAAAGGAGTTTCAAGAGGAAGACGCTCATCTGGTAATTACATAGGTGTACATTCTTGGAGCTCAAGTATTTTTGTAAGGTGATCATTTCCTAATCCCTGTGAAAGCATTTTTGTTCTTCTTTTTCTCTGGACTCCCTAGGTGTGAGCACATTACTGAGCCAGTCCCAATAAAGGCTGGGCTACAGCCAGATGGGCCAAGCCTGTGAATAGTCTGCATTCTTTAATTTCACTAGTCCAGCCAAGCCTAGGCCGCAAAGTGCGTATAAAAGGGGACTTCTCAGTGGATGTTGGACTGACGTTCGCCCCCCCCCCCCTCTCTCTCGGTCTCTCTCTGGGGTGCCCTCTTCACACCGCAATGAGTCGGCAGCTGTGTGCAAAGCCTTGGGCTGGAGGGAGGGAGTTCAGTGCCGGCTCTGCCATTCTCTTTGGGGGAGGCAGGAGTGTGGTGTCCACAGCAAGCCGCAGAAGCCTGGCAGGGGTGAGTGGGGGCGGTGGCTTTGGCAGCAGGAGCCTCTACAACCTCGAGGGAAGGAGATGCATTTCCCAGAGCGGGGCCCTGGGAGGCAGCCAGTGTGCCGCTGGGTTGGGTGGCAGCGTCCGGCTTTGTTGGGGCAGATTTGCTGGGGGAGGGTGGAGCAAGGGCAATGGAAGAAATGGCCCAGGATTTCCTTCCTGTCCACTGGGGAGCATCCAGGAAGTGGTTGTGAACCAGAGCCTCTTGGCCCCCCTCAGCCTGGAAATTGATCCTGAGATCCAGAGAGTGCGCAAGGAAGAACGGGAGCAGATCAAGGACCTCAACGACAAATTTGCTTCCTTCATTGACAAGGTGGGATTTCAGGATGCTCTGCCTACTGTTTTCTATCACTGCAGTGCAAAGATGATTTGTCTGAGGGGAGGTATTTAGCCATTCTCCAAATTGCATCCCTACTTTTACGTTAAATGATACCTAATACAAAAATATGTAAATTATCTGGCTCCCTCCTCCCTTTCCCTTCCCAGTGCACAAAACGCTTTACCATTCTTTTCTCATTAGTCATCACCAGTGGACACAAGCATGAGTAAGAGAGCAATCTGCTGACCCCCACACAGTGTCTTGGGCACCATGGGAGGCTATGGGTCTCCTCCACCGTGCCCATGGGCAGGACTGCAAGTACAGAGGAAAATGCCTGGTCAGCCATGGTGGAAAGCCTCTTTCACTGCTGCAACCTTGTAATAGAAGTCAGAGAGGGAGAAGAGGGGCTGAGCTCGTGGATTGGTTGGGCAAAGGATAGGAGAGGCTGGTGTGTGCTACTTCCTGGGCCCCTCTGGTGTCCTCCCCACTTTCCAAAGGTCAGTCAGGTAGATGGGCTCAGAGCCCGTCTGCCTGCTCTTTAGATTGCAGATGGCAGCTGCAGGCTCTTCCTGGCAGGACACAGCATAGAGAACCCCAAAGTTCTGCAACCCAGAGGACCGGGCTCTAAATAGGCTTCTGGTTTGTATGAACTTCGGAATGTTGCAAGTGGCTCAGAGTTCTTGGACTGGCTTTTCACTTTGAAAAGACTGAGATCAGCAGGAATGGATGTCTAGTTGAGCCTCTGACTTGCAATGCACAGTTATGGATGAGAACAGGTGGATTGAAAAGATGGCTCCTTTTCAGGCTAGATTGGGAATCTTCTAAGGAAATTTGGTGATGTTGATGGGAAGGTGACCTTTTTCAGGTAGTCTTTAAATTTGTAAGGATGTTCTGAAGATGGTTCTAGCAAGGTCTTCTGGGCAAGTCCTCCTTGTCCCCTTGGAAGAGAACGTCAGGTACTATCATACCGTGGTATTATGCATTTGCCTTGCAGTTATTTTTAAGAACATTCATGACCTTTTTGTTTGAATATGTGAAAGACCATTCCCAGATGGTCCCGAGGCAATTAACAGAGAGCATTTGTTTCCTGATCCACAGGTGTGGTAACTGCAAGGGTGTGTGAATCTGTGACATTCAGGAACTTTCACTTTCTCATCTATGAAGAAATATCTGGAATGGAATTAGTTCGATAATTTTTTGTAAGCAAATGGCAGCAACCTAAAGTAATGTAACAGAACATGTGAGGTATTTAAGCCTCTAGCACTTGGCATCTCTAGCGGTATGGATGAGAACCGAACTTACTTTCAGCATTTACTGGATCAGATGCAACTCTGAGTTTCAGATGCAAGTCTTGAGGATGAAGAAATAGAGTTCGGAGCTGCCTCCCATGTTCAGAAAGGCCACCTGGGCCTTGGTTGGCACTCCAAAATTTGCATCTTATAAAGGCACAATGCCATGCACATCAAGACAGGAAGAAACAGGCATGCTTAGAGTTGTGGATCTTTTTTTCAGGGGAAAATTTTGAGAATTTGAGTATATAGGACATTTGAGCATGGCAGTATGTAGGTTACGGGCAGCACAGTAGAATGATCAGGTGAACTCTTGGTTTTGATTAAGTGCCGCACACACATATATTACCTTTCCAGAAGATTCACATGACTTACCCCACCATTAAAAGGCAAAGGGAGCCCATTAATATAGCTAAAAGATTTTTCTTCTTTAATTTATAGCTTTGTTTGTTTGTTTTTTGAATGGAATCATCACATCAAAAACTAGAGCCCTGAAATGAAACAGGATCTGGTACTATTTCATTTCATAATAAACTGTTTGGCAAGGTTGCCTGTGAAGTGCTTTCCTTCCTTATTTCCTTAATAGATTTATATCCCAATGAACATATTTTAAAAGAGTCTGAATGTGTTGCATAAAATACATTATAATATATGTTAAATAAATCAAAATGCATATATGTTAACTCATTAACATTAAACATTAATCCAGACATTACAATCAATCAAGATCAATTCAAACAACACTGTAATTAGAAACAAAGAGCTTGGGTTGCACATTCACTGAGGGACAGCCAGGTTAAAGAAACAGGTCTTTAATTGGCACCTAAAGCATGATCAGGCTTCCCCAACCCAGTGGCCTTCACAGGCGTTTGGATCTCGGTTCCCAGAATTCCCACCCAGCAGGGCCATTGTCTGGGAATTCTGGGTGTTAGAGTCCAAATATGCCTGGAAGGCACAAGACTGGGGAAGGCTGATCTAGATGGTTTCTCCCAAATAGCAGTAGGGAGATGGTTCCATGACTCAGGTGCTACCATGGGGAAGGCTGCATGACGTGGCACCACTGACAAGCCATCCCACAATGATGCTGATGATTGCACAGGTCCATACTGGGACAGGCCATCTGCCAGGTATTTCATCCACTCTAGGGATGAAATAAATGTTAGGAGGAACACTCAAGTGCTTTCCTCTCCTCTGAACGCCCTTTTCCAAATCTGCATGCAGAATCGTGATCCAGCCAGCAAGATCCATGCGTAGCGGTAGACACTGTCGTGTGCAGCCGGGGTGGAGGTGCAGAGCCAGGGGCTTGTGCCGGCTGCAAGGCAAATGACATGGAACTGGCTGAAGGCATCTCTCGGTGCCCCAGCAGATGCCGTTTCCCTCCAAGTCCACCAGCTTTTGTGCAAATAGATTTGGATCAGGACAAGAATATGTAGATGTTATAGTGCATTATGGGAGTTTGCAGGTTAAAAGGTAATGCAAATATTTAGTGTTATAATTTACAAGGGATTTGCCACAAAATGTTGCTGTTTGGAGAGCTCCAGTTCCAACCAGCCTTCACTGTGATTTCTGAGAACACACCATCCTCAGCCTGGTTTTCCATTTTCACCCTCCCTCCCCTGCAGGTCCATCAGCATTCCATGGCCCCTGAGCATGCCATGGGGCTGTTTCTTTAGGTGTTCCTCTTAGCATTTCTAAAAACAGTTTTTTGGAGTTTCTGCAGACCTTGCAGGGGGTCTTTTGGTGTCTGCTGCCTACCGTCTGCCTTGTGCTCACATAGGGTTGTTCAGCTGTATAAGCTCTAGCATTCCGAGACCGAGTTAATTATTGCCATTTAGGATATCTATCATCTATCTAATCTCTCATATATCATTTGTCCATTGTTGTTATGGGCTGTTGCCTCTGACTAATAGCAACTCGCATATAGGACGGTATATAAACGTTTTAAATAAATAAAGAAACTCTATGAATGAACACCCTCTAAAATGCCCTGTTCTGCTCAGCTCTTGCAAACTCAAAGCTGTGGCTTCTTTTACAGAATACGCGTATCCATTTCATATTCAGATCTGTCTCCTTATAGGAGTGTGTTGTGTGGGTCTCTCTCTCTCTCATATTCTCAGTGTCTCCCCTGTTTATACACTGGGGGGAAGGGGAGAGAGGGGTGGAGAGAGAGAGACTTGGATTGCACAAGCAGCTCAAATGGCCAGTTCACCTACAAACACTCCCAACTGCCAATATGGCTTTCCATGTCATCTGAACCTGGTTGGGGTGGCTTGTTTGGGTAGTTCACAAACCGCACCGTAACTGTTCAGCTGGCCGTCCGTTCTGGGTGGTTTGTTATCCACCCCAGCAAGCCTCCCATGCTGAGTTCAGATGTCATGAGAAGCCACTCCTGGTAGAACAACTCTCTTAATTGGGCCAGCGTGCAAGTGGAAGGTGACTGGCAGGCACGGGGTGATCATAGACACTAGAGCTACTTAACCACCCTTGTGTTGTGCAGCCTCTCCCATACTGTCCTGTTTCTCAAAATCAGACTTGAGCCATGAACTTTGACAATTTTGGAACGCAGCCTTCCAACAATGCAGCCTTTAAAAATGCATGTTATAGAATTTTCTTTCATTTGATCTTCCAGGTACCTCTGGAATTTCCTTGGGGCAGCTTGTAGCTACTTCCAAATGTTCTTGTATTACGGTGGAGCTGCTAAATTTGCTCCACAGTGTCCTGGTGGGTGCTTGCAAAGAAACTCAGCCATCCTTTCAGTCTTTCATCTCTGCAGGTTCGATTCCTGGAGCAGCAGAACAAAGTCCTGGAGACCAAGTGGAGTCTTTTGCTGCAGCAGCCCAGCTCCCACGTGGGGAACCGTGCTGAGCCGCTCCTTGAGGCCTTTGTCATTAGCCAGAGAAAGCAGCTAAGCTCCCTTATGTGCAAAAGAGGGAGGCTGGACTCAGAGCTGAAGAACATGCAGGACCTAGTGGAAGATTTTAAGCACAGGTGATATGAGGGGGATGCTCAGGTCTTCCCAGCAACAGCCTAGAGTGGACTTGCACAGGTGAAAATGACCTGCTTGCAACCCCAGATGTGAATGCATCGCTTTGGGAAAAGCTCACACATTCTTGAGCTTGTCAGCAGGTGTCCCTTGCAAAAATTCACACCATGAGCATGCATTTCCCTAGCAGAAATGATTTCCATGCTTTAATCAGTGGGGGGAAGTGCACATGTCAGTGCATGCCTGGAAGAGCGAACATCTCTCATGCCTGAGGAAAAGATCTTGGGGTTTGGGAGTGAGAATAAGGTGAAATATGCACTGATGTGGAAAACAGGAAACCCACCCCTCCCATCCCTAGATTTTCCTGTCCAGAGGGCCATTCCAAATCAGTAGGGTAAGAAGAAGCAGAGCTACCAGGACAGAGATGGGGGGCAGAAATGCACAGTCCCATTCAGCAGCCCATATGACTTACCCACATTTTGAGGAAGGTGAAGTAATGCACAGTCCCATTTAAAGAGGGGTTCCCCAAAAGCCAGGAATCCCAGACTCAAAAATTACCTAATTGCAACAAGGGGAATGAGGTGTGATTTTACAGTGAGGTCTAAAGGCTTACTCTTGAATAAATTCCAGATAATTGTACAAAACCGGTATACCTGTGTCTATGGAGGATTTCCTTGTAAAGCTGAAAGCAGCTTCAGAAATTGTACTTTCCACAGGATTGCAGCAGGAGCCAAGATGCACTTACTGTCCTTTGCATCTCTGATCCTTAGTAGAGCAGAACCCCACAGGACTGGAAATAATGTCAAGCTTGTCAGATTGCTGGGCAACAAGAATGGGAGCTGGGAGGTTTACTCCTACAGAATCCCAGCCCCAAGCTGTTTTGGTCTTTAAAGGAGTATAGCCATGCACCCAACATAATCTCTGTTCCCAATTTTTAATCCCCAAAGGTATGAGGAAGAAATTAATAAGCGCACAGCTTCTGAGAATGAATTCGTATTGCTGAAAAAGGCAAGTGCTTCCATACACTCCAGATAACACCTGTGATTCTACATCGGTCTAAGTGGAGGATCCTGTATGTGAGTGTATGTGTGTGGGAATGCATCTGTGGGGCAGGCACATCTGTAGAGACATAGGTATATTCCTCCAGGGCCAGCTCCAGGTTTGAGGACCCGTCTAGCAAGTACCTCCTGGCAGACTCCTGAGGCACACCTTGTAGGTTTAGCTGCCATCGGTGCCAGGGTGAGCAGCAGTAAGAGGCATGGATGGTAACAGCAGCACTGTGTCCTAGGATGGGAAGCGGAGAGCCCAGCACCATTAAAATGATCCACATTCCCTTGGAGCAACATGGTGGGTAATTAAAATGATAGGGAACTTGCAGACCCAGCCATCAGCACTGGGGGCCCAGAGCCCTGGCAGTCAGTCAGTCAGTCTGTCCATCTGTCTGTCCGTCCGTCCATCCATCCATCCATCCATCCATCTTTCCATTTATAAGCTGCCAAATATTTAAAAGTCCCTTGGTGGCTTACAAAATCACACACACGCGCGCACACACACTATTTAAATAAAAACATTTTAAAAAAAGCCTTAAAAATTCCAAAACCAAATGTAATCAGTAACACAAAAGCATTAAATAAGTGAAAGGAGGTCAGGATCAGTTAAAATAAATATGAAAAAGGTCTGTTTTTGCCTGGCGCCAAAAAGAAAATAGTGCTAAGGGAGGCCTGGTGGTGATGCCCAGGACCCTCAGCACCACGACATAGGCAGCATTGCATGCTGTAGGGCATGTCAATCACTTTCATGAAGTCTTCACCAGATATTGTCTCACAGTTTTCTGGCCTGTTTCACAGGGCTATATGCAAAATTCATTTATCTCTTTTGTGATCAGGATTTATTCAGTTTTTATCTTCCAGGCTTAGCACAAGCTGTGTACATTTTCAGTCTTGAAATCTGATTCAGGCAGACACCTCCCTAAGCATTCGATAATATGCACAGATTTGAAAAAAATGAGTATAAAAATGCACACTAATACATTTTAACCAATGGGAGAAGGGCATGTACATTTGAAAATGCAACCCTTCCCCACAAATTCAGGTCCTTCTCTTAGGGAGCCTCTGAAGTCATGCATCTTCTTGTATCAAAAGTGCAGCTCCTCACTGAATGATGAGAAACGCTTGTTCATAGAGCTTCAAAGTGGTTTGCAGCATAGATGAGGCAAGGAAGTCCAGAAAAATGGAAAGTGGGATTTTGGGGTGGGATTTTGGCAGAATACGCTCTCTAGATAACCAGCTGGACCGTGTTAGAACAGGCAGTCGATCATGCACATTTTTGGCTATAAATCAAGAGTGCTGTGTATGAAGTGCATTTCTTTTTGTTTTCATTTTCCTCCCCCCTCCCCCTTTTGGAAATATGCCTCTTTGTGTGTGCATGTGCATGGGTGTGCCTATCTATGTATGTGTGTGCATGTGTGTAAAGGAGTGGTGGAATGGGGCATGTAAGCATGGGGAGCATTGGAGAACATTGGGGTTTTTTTGTATATGAAATATACATGAAATATCTCTCTGTAAAACATTCATCATGTAAAATTGCTTTTCAACAGTCTCTATTGCAATGTTTTGTTTTGTTCTTTTCAGGATGCAGACGCTGCCTATATGAGCAAGGTGGAGCTGGAGGCCAAGGTAGCTTCTCTGACAGAAGATCTCAGCTTCTTGAGATGCCTTCATCAGAAAGTAAGGGTGCTTCTCAAATTCCTAAGTCACCTGAAATTCTCTTGTTTCTTCAAGAACAATTTCAATATGTTAAACCTGGAGTGGTGACTCCATGGACCTCCAGATGTTTTGTGCCAGCTTCCATCAGCTTCAGTCAATGCAGGCAAGAGTCAGGGATGGGAGTTAGAGGCCAACATCTGGATGGCTACTGTTTCTCCATCCCATGTTTGAATATCTTTTCAAGACAAAGCAAGATCACAATCATAATTTCACTTGCAAAACTCCATGACACATTTGCTTTCCATTCAGCAGTATATGCCAGATCCTTATTTCTACTAGAATGCTCATCTAATGGTATCTTGCCCTGCAGGAAGAACAATGAATTTTTTGTTTTGGAGATGATGACCAGGTTTAGTAGCACTGGCAAATATACAAATTTGTCATAACTATCCAGCCCTTCCCTAAAAGGCCTTTCAAAATATGGTTTTTTACACAGATTTCTGAGTTCTGAATGCATGTATGCTTGCTCACTTTCATTAATTATTTTTATTGTCAGTGTATACTGTCCTATGATATAAATACCAGAAGATGTCAACTAATTATCTGATAATATAATCATAATGATTGCCAAAGAATGAAATCAAATATCAGGTGCTGTTATAAAATAATCAAGGAATATCTGACAAATATACACACATAAGAACTCTACCAAGGTCACAGAAAACATCAAAATTAGCAGGAGGATTTGGAACTGTCAAGCTTAATAACATGATCCTTCTGAATTTCAAGACAAACTGACTACATTTCCTGGACTGATGTTCTCCTGGAACTTATTTATCCATGTCTGTTGTATTTCCTGAAGGTTATGATACAATTTTCAGATCAAGTTTAGAAATGTGCATTTTGAAAAAAAGATATTATTCAAAATGTGTGTTCTTGATTGATGATGTATTTCGCAACTCATATTTCAAAAGAACATGCATTCTAAAAGATGAATTTCAATACATAGTTAAATGCATTTTTCTGAGATTATTTTTTTAATTTAAAAACAACAACAGCAACACAGATAGGTACCAAAATAGGATGGAACAAACTGAGAAGGGAACACAAGTGTAAGTCATGGGGACTTGAAATAAATTCATGGGTTGCATGAAGGGTTTGTAGTCCAAACCATTTGGATGGCACAAGGTTGGGAAACACTTAAGATTCCATAAAACAAAGAACATCAATTGATTGAGTCTTTTATGATGTGAAGGAGCTGACACAGTTACAAGGCCAGGTGGGCGACACCAGCATCATCCTCCAAATGGACAACAGTCGGGACTTGGACCTGGACATGATCATGGCTGAAGTCAAAGCTCAGTATGAGGAGATGGCAAGCAGGAGCCGAGCTGAAGCTGATGCCATGTACCAAAGCAAGGTGTGCACTCCTGACTTGGACCTGTACTGTCCCTTGAGCTGTCCCCTGAAACAAAATGTTGCTTGCATGGCCTCAAAACCTGGCAAATTCAGAATAGGGCATAGATGAGCATTTCTCCCCCCTTTAAGGGAAGTCATCTCAGCAATTCAGCTAGTGTTCAACTAGCGGGCTCTCAAAGGTGGTGGGTGGTGCCACAAAATAAACTCAAAGAGCCGCATGCAGCTTGTGAGCCTCGGTTTGGCCACCCCGGTCTATGCTGAATGACAACTGTTCCCTGAGCAGAGAGGGCTTTCTCTTCCACCTGCCTGGGTCCTTTACCTGGAGTTGTAAAGTCATAATATTAATTTTATGACTCTCAGTCCAAAAGGGAATAATTGTAGGATACACCCACAGTAAATGAGTTCCACCCTCCCTGACCCCCAATTATACCTAGGCTAATAACCAAGGAGTGTGCAACCAACCCCTTTCCCCGAGGTGCCCAATAAATATGAAATCATAGTTCTGGTTTTATTAGCTATATTTTACAATGTAAAGAACACAGGTTGTTGATGTTGAAGCAACCTGGCATCTCTTTAAAAGATGGAGACACTCATTTTCAGGATTCCCAAGATCTCTGTGTTTTGCCGCTGGCACTTCAGGGGATGAGACAGGCAATCGTGTTTGTTTGCATGCATTTTGTCCTTGTGTGTCCCCTTTGTGTTAGACCCATGTTTGCATTGCACCCATTCCATTGACACTTGTACACCTATGTAGAAACATTCCCAGGTTTAGCTGGAGTGTGAATGTATCCTGGGGAGGCCAGCACTGCTGGGACTCCGTATCCATTGGAGTGTTTATTCAGAACTGTACAGGCGCTAGCCTTGACCCCCCAGATAAGTCCACTGCCATCATTAAAAAGAAGGAAATAAGGATGCAGGTATGTGTAAAATCTCCCCATCCCTAATTTATAGGGATAACTTCAGAGCTGGAAACAATGAATAGGAAGTCAATATGCCCCATGATACCGGGGAGGACTGTGTCCACATGGCTTCTGCACATGCTCAGCTTCAGGCCCCTCCCTCCCTCCTTCTCTTTCTTACAATTCAGCTGGACTTGGACAGGACAGCCCTTCAAAGAGGGGGCATCGTCCAGGCAAACATAAATGGCTAATCCCCTCGGACCCCTTTCCTATCTTGCTCAGCATCACCTACTCCAAGGGAACCCAATGTTTCTGGGTTTGTGGTGATTTAGGATGCTGAAAGGGCTCAGAGGATGTGACAGGATGTGACGGCCCAAGGGGTGGCAGGAGGGGCTTTGCCGAGTCAGAAAATGCCTGTCAAGGTGGGCACGACTGGTCCCTAAACCCTCATTTCCCAGAAAGTTATATTCTTTTTAGGGTCAGGCAAAAGCCCTTTTATTTCCCCATTATTTTAATGTTTAATTGATTTTAACTGGGGTTTAGTATATTGATTGTGGGATGCTGTGGTGTCTGTTTTATTCTACTCATTTTTTATGGTGCCCCGAGGCGTCTGTAGGGGACAGGTTAGGAAAGCTTTTAATAAACAAACAAACAAACAAACAAACAAAGTGAGATAGTGGAAGTAAAAGAAACGTCACTTGCCCAAGTTCCTAAGTATAAGGCAGAGGTGAAGTCTGCTCCAAAACAAACAGCTTCCCGTGAACAAAAGAAGACCCATGTTTTACATTTAAACATATTTTGTGAAATAAAACAAAAATCAGGTGGAACAGGGAATGGGCTGGGAGATCCTTCCCAGGGTGGCATCCTGGAAATGTGTGAGGAGATGTGGGGAAATGAGCTTCCTGCATGCAGATTATGTGCTTTGCTGCTAAGCTATGGAGCAACACATCTGGGTGAGAAAGCAACACTCATGAGGCTACTTACTTCACAAAGCTGGATTTGACCCAAAGACTAGCCCTTGCTGAGCCCTTTTTTAATGCCTGGGTGCATAAAATCAGTTTCAGGAACTTCAGCTCACTGCTGGGAAACATGACGATGCCTTGAAAAATTCCAGGGTAGAGATTTCTGAACTGCATCGACTGATCCACAGGCTTAGGGCGGAAACTGCAAACGTGAAGAAACAGGTAGGATGCATTCTGCTTTGGTGCAGGTGCTTCACTTGTGGCAAGGGCTCTGGGCAGCAAACTACGTAATGCTTTGGGAACGGCAATCAAAGCGAGCCGCAGGTTCTGGGGTCAGCGGGGCTGTGTATTCGCTTTGGGTTCCAGACCCAAAAGATGCAGTCTTTGGTACTGAAGCCATTTTGGGAATATGCTCCAGCACCAAGGAGAGCTCCTTAAAAGTTCAGACTGACACCTGGAGTTGGATACCCTTCCCCACTCAGATTGGAACCGGTTACACAAAGAGGATGTTGTGCTTGGCTGCCCTTTTAAGCACCAGTGCTTTATGGGAAATTGCATCCATCCAGCACTTCTTAGTCGGAGTAATTTTACTGAAGTTTTAGTATTCAGATTCAGTGGGCTGGCGATAGATTTAAATCCCACTGATTTCAATGAACCCAGTCTAAGTTTAAGTCTGCTTCTAACTGATCCAGTATGGCTTACAGGCAGAAGCCAGTTTTATTTAGCATCTTCTCATGAATCTCATGAACAAACAGAATCAACTTTTTTTTAAAGATGAAACCTGTGACCTCAGCAATCTACATTGCCATGATGATAGTATTTCGTATTGGCACAACAAATTCCAAATATGGTGTCGACAGACCTTTTCCCCTTCACCTTGCAATTTATAAATCCAGCAGCACTGATTAATGGGGATTGCTGAAAAATACTGAATAGTCAAATATACATTTGCATTTCTGTAAGTAAACAAAATTAGTTAAATTTAGTATCTGAATTAGCTCCTGATTTAAATGCACTCATTGGTAGGCACTTTTGATCAGTAATGGCTTAGAGTGGAATCCAGTTATGTTCTCTTGTTGCTTAAAATGCTTCCATTAGGAGAAGAACAATTTTCCATTCCTCATCTCTTTACCCCTGCAGCCCAAGGGCATGTTCATAACTTCCTCCTGTGGACTGAGGAATGCTCCAGACTAGATTTATTTATTTATTTATTTATTTATTAAAACATTTTTATGCCGCCCCATTCGCCGAAGCCTCGGGGCGGCTTACAACATAGATAAAACAAGTTAAAATCCATATAAAATAATCTTAATTAAAACTCACATTATAAAATAAGCCGCCCTGGCCAGATAAAATTCAATTGTATTTAGCATTTAAAATGTTGCTTAAATAAAAAGGTCTTAGCCTGGCGCCGAAAAACAAATAACGACGGCGCCAGGCGGACCTCTCTGGGGAGCGCATTCCATAACTTAGGCGCCACCGCTGAGAAAGCCCTTCTCCGAGTAGCCACCCTCCTAATTTCTCTCACGGAGGGCTCCCGGAGAAGGGCCTCTCCCGCCGATCTCAGGGGGCGACTGGGCAAATATGGATGTAAGCGCTCCTTCAGGTAACCAGGACCCAAGCCGTTTAGGGCTTTATAGGTCATTACCAACACCTTGAATTGGGCCCGGACTTCAATGGGGAGCCAGTGAAGCTGACGGAGAACTGGTGTCATGTGAACATAACGTCCAGTCCCCGTCAGCAGCCTGGCAGCTCTATTCTGAACCAATTGAAGTATCCGGACCGTCTTCAAGGGTAGCCCCACGTAGAGCGCGTTACAGAAGTCAAGACGGGAAGTCACCAGCGCATGAGTCACTGTTGCAAGGCAGTCGTACTCCAGGTAGGGGCGCAGCTGATGAATCAGCCGAAGCTGGAGGAAAGCGCTCCTCGCCGCTGTTGTCACCTGAGCTTCAAGTGAAAGCTCCGGGTCGAGGAGCACTCCCAAGCTGCGGACCTTGTCCCTAGGAGGGAGTGCAACCCCATTCAGGACAAGGTTCAGGTCACCTTCTCCGAAGCCCGAACCGCCAACCAACAGGACCTCCGTCTTGTCTGGATTGAGCTTCAGTTTATTGGCCCTCATCCAGCCCATTACCTCGGCCAGGCACCGGTTCAGTACAGCCACTGCCTCACCTGGATTGGTGGAAAACGAGAGGTAGAGCTGGGTATCATCAGCATACTGATGGGTCCGCAGCCCACACCTCCTGATGACCTCTCCCAGCGGTTTCATGTAGATATTGAACAGTAAAGGGGACAAAATGGAACCCTGCGGTACCCCATGGCAAAGCTGCCATGGCGCAGAGCCATAGTCCCCCAACACCACCTTCTGGAATCGGTCGTTGAGATAGGAGCGGAACCACCGCAAAGCGGTGCCTCCGACCCCCAATCCCGCCAGCCTATCCAGAAGGATACCATGGTCGATGGTATCGAAAGCCGCTGAGAGGTCCAGGAGAACCAACAGGGACGCACTCCCCCTGTCCTTCTCCCTGCACAGGTCATCGTACAGGGCGACCAAGGCAGATTCAGTACCGTACCTGGGTCTGAAGCCGGACTGAAATGGGTCCAGATAATCAGTTTCATCCAAGAGTGCTTGGAGTTGTCCCGCCACCACTCGCTCTAACACCTTGCCCAGAAACGGGATGTTGGCCACTGGTCTATAGTTAGCGGCCATCCCTGGATCCAGTGACGCCTTCTTCAGGACCGGTCGGACTACCGCCTCCTTTAAAGGAGCAGGCACCCGACCCTCCCTCAGAGAAGCATTAACCACTTCCAAGATCCAGGTTCCAATCCCGTGCTTGGAATCCTTTATTAACCAAGACGGGCAAGGGTCCAGAAGGCAAGTGGTAGGACGTACTCGTCCAAGCACCTTGTCCACATCATCGGGCCGCAATAACTGAAATTCATCCAATAATTCTGGACCAGACGGTAGCGTTGGTGTCTCCCTTAAAACCTCTGAATCAATAGTGGAATCCAGCTCGTGACGAATCTGAGCGATTTTCTCCCTAAAATGCTCGGCAAAGTCGTCACAGCGGGCCTTTGAGGGTGGAATCAGCTCTTCCTTTGGCCCTGGGTGAACCAGGCCTTGCACCACTCGAAAGAGCTCCACCGGACGGCATTGTGAGGAGGCAATGGAAGCGGAGAAGTGTCTCTTTTTCGCCGCCCTCACCGCCACAGCATAGGCCCGATAGTGGGCTCTTAAGTGTGTTCGGTCAGATTCATCACGTGATTTCCTCCACCTACGCTCTAGCCGTCTCCCAACCTGCTTCATTGCCCTCAATTCTGGAGTGTACCAAGGGGAAGAGCGGGCTCTGCCCGATGGGAGAGGACGCTTAGGAGCGATCGTGTCTACAGCCCTGGTCATCTCCCCATTCCACAGTTCAACCAGAGCCTCGACAGGAGCACCCGTCTTGTCAGCCGGAAACTCCCCCAGAGCCTTCAGGAATCCTTCTGGATCCATCCGGCTCCGGGGGCGGACCCACACAATCGGGTCTGCACCCTTGCAGAGGGAGATGTCGCTCTCGAGCACAAACCTCACTAGGAAGTGATCTGACCATGACAGGGGAGTCAAGCATAAATAGATCTGCAAAGGTTGTTGGGAGGAGAAGTAGCGAACATTTCACTGCATGAACAGCCTTGCACTTGTTGGGTTTCATCCACAGACTTCTGACCTCCTGGCCCTAATCATGTTTACTCATAAATTTCCACAGATCTCTACTGGCCTTATGCCCTAGCCTAGAAACAGCTTTTCTACATGAGGCTGCTAATTTGCCATATTGACCTTTGGTTTCAGTCTTAGCACTACTCAAAGAATGTTTCCTTTCTTGCTCTTCCACTATGTAACCTCTAGGTGGCACTGTGGTAGTACAGAACAGTGCATTTATACAAATGGAAAAAGTGATACATTTCACAAATACTATTGCATTGTCCCTGCTCTAAAAAATCTCACCAGAAGTACTCTTTAGACACAGAAACAAAACTGGAGCATCACAGCATTGACTTAAGAACACAGACGCAGGCATGAGTAGGGAATGATGAGTACGCAATATATGCCATGTGTAGAAATGCTCTAAGGGTGAAGTGGTTGCAGGACTCCTTTCAATAAATGCTTTGTTTGCATAAACCACGTGCTTTCCTAAGTTGCACTTGACTTTGACTGCTTTCTTCATAGTACCTCGTTGTTCAGTGCATAAACACAGAATCCAGTTATCCAGCTGACTAATACTTCACAAAACGAAGCACTGGCGATGAATGTGGCACTCCCACTGGTGGTGTCTATTCTTGTTGCAAAGCCCTGCTCACAGAAAACAGAATCAGAGTTTGGTTTTCACTTCACATTTCCACTGCAGTGTGACCATTTTCAGTCTGCCATTGCTGAGACGGAGGAGCGTGGAGAGCTAGCTCTCAAGGATGCAAGCGAAAAGTTAATAGACCTGGAGATTGCCATGCAGAAAGCTAAGGAGGAGTTGGCCCGTCTTTTGCGCGATTACCAGGACCTTCTGAACGCAAAGCTAGCATTGGATTTTGAAATTGCTGCCTACAGGACATTGCTGGAAGGAGAGGAATGGAGGTGAGAATCATGGAAACAGTAGTAAATAACTCACTTATTCCATTTCCCCCGAGAACTCAGCTGTTCCCTGTGTCTTATTTAGATGGTACATTAAGGCTTCAGCTCTCTAGCTAGTTACTTCTGAGTAAAGCCCACTGAATGCAATTGGGCTAAATTGGGAGTGGGCTGACTTTTGAGTATGGAGACATGGGGTGTGCTGTAAGCCTGCATGATTCAATGATATATTGCAGCCTATCTTGAAAATGAGGGGGACAAGAAGTTTCCAGCTGCTCACTGGTTTTCTATTTAACTTTACCCACCAGGATGTCTGGAGAATGTGGCAGTGCTGTGAACATATGTAAGTAATGGGAGATTTTGTGCGAGTACATTGGATTTGCAACTATAGTATCTGACGTATCTGTGTTGAAAATAACCCCTGCCCTCAAAAAAGTGGCCTTCTCCCAATGCAGCCCGCCAGTCCTTCCAGTGGAGCACCCTTTTCAGGGCTGGATGCAGCACAGGGGGCATTTTGTGGGGGGCGGGTGAGAAGGCAAGGGCTAATTCTCCTCTCCCTGACCCTGCCACCTCCCCTGAACAATCATCCCTCTCCTGCTGCAGCCAGACTTTAAAAAGTCCCAGTGGAAGCATTTAAAAAGCCCGATGGCAGCGGGAGAAGGGCCAGGTGTGAGCACGCACGGGTGTGTGCGAGGGACAATTCATGCTGCAAGGCTATGCACTTGTGGTAGGGCGGCTGAACCCCATTTTTAACCTGCCTGTGGCCCTTCCCACTACGGGGCTGTGGTCCCTGGTGGGTTTGCCCTGAACCCATGCAGCCCATGGCCCAAAAAACACCTTCTACCTCTACAACATACGGGTATCAATCCCATTCTCAAAGAATGGAGCTTCATGCCACCCAGCTGGCACCCTCCACGAATGAGAGGTAGGTAACAGCATGCCCGAGGAACTCCAGGGTTCTCATATGTGCGCACAATTTTGGGGAAAACATCCCAAGAGGAGAACCCCCCAGAACAGCTCAGTGGCCTCTGGGCTTGCTCAGTGCTCATAGTGAAGGGGAAGGGAATGGAGAGCTAGGGGGCAGAAAGGGAAGACTGAGATTTCTTGGAAAGAGGGAAGAATGCCTGTCTGTCTCTGCATATATCTGTCTGGAATCCTGAACAGGAGTGGTATCCCGGGGAACATTTTGTTGCATGTCCCATACATATCATATGCACCTGTTTGGGATCTCTCCGCAGCTGATGTATCGCCACTGCAATATCTATACTGGTGTGTATGCATGTGTGTTCTCTTGTAGCTGTCGTTAGCAACAGCAGCATGGGAAGTGCGCTGAGTCATGGAGGAGGGTTCAGCACTGGAGGAGGAAGCGCCATTTGTGGGAGCAGCAGGGGCATTCTGGGATACGGTTCTGGAGGCGGAGGAGGCTCTCCTGGCCTGAAAATTCTATCAAGTGCCTCTCCAAGCAAAAGGACAAGCATAAGATGAGCCAGAAGCATGACTTCCTGAAGGATGCAGCTGACCGTGTCCAGTTCCTTGAGGCGTGTCAACACTAAATGTCTGTTGTCAAAATCCTGTGCAACAATGCTGTTTTGATGTCTTTTGTTCAAGAAAGCAGACTGGATTAAGTGAAGTGTTTTTCTGTGGCCAAAACCAAACCAAACCCATACTTTGGAGAAGGAATCCTTAGATTCAGGGCATAGCTTTACTACAAACATTTATGCCACTGTAGTAATATGGCTCCCTCTCCTCCAAATCCTAAAAATAGCACTATGGCAACATTCTGTCTGCCTTCCTCTGCCAGTAGCTGTCTGTCTTGCAGAACTACGATTCCCAGGATTCCTTGGAAGGGAGGATGGCAGTTTAACCCATGTGAGTCTATAGTACGCTGGGTCATTGCTATGCTGTTGCACCACTCCTACCCCACAGTTTACTTTGCAGCACCCTTCACAACAACCAAGCAGGGCATCCAATCACCCTTTCCCTCCTCTGACCTCTAATAGTTTGATCTTGCAAGCCTGGTTGTGGTTGGACAGCCCATTCTGTTCACTGCCTGTGCGGTCCTCTCCTTCTCAAGCACTCCTGCGAAGTGAAGTGAAGCGAAGTGAAGGTCACCCCTGCAGCGCTGATATCTGCCTTTGCACGTGGGCTTTTGGCAGCCTCCATAGCAGGATCGCACAATGCCGTGGGTCAGGACGTGGCTAATGACACACACACGCACCTCTACCTGTTAGGGGGAAACTGGTGCAATGTACACTGTAGCTCCTCTTCCAAGGCAGAGAATGTGCCCAGCTAACTGCTGTGGCCAATGAGAAAACACCCTGTAGGAGACCCCATGTCCTTATTGGCTGCGAGAGTCATCAATCAGCACAGGCAGCAATCCAAGTTGCCCAGTGCTGCAGGAGGGTTGGCGTCTCCCTGCTGGCCGAATGGAGAAGACACAGAAGCCCTATTCATCTAGAGGTGCCCACAAGTGGAAGAAAGAGTGTTCAATGGGTGGATATCGGAGGGTGGAGTTTGTATGGACACATGAAAGCTGAGGTGGAGCCAGAGGTGTGCTCTCACTCCAGCAGGGGTGCCCCTGAAATGCAACGTGTGACTAAAGTTACTCAGGAGTAGGGATGGCTGAATCTACTGATTCTATTTTTTCTTGGTTTGCCATTTCCCCTTCTTAAGTCTGTCTTGTCCCAAATGTGGCGAATTCCCCCACTCTCAAATTTGCTTCATCAAACCCGGAGAATTATTAATCATTATGTTTACCTTTTAAAGACTTCATAAAAGTTGTACACTTTTGGTGCTCATTTCTCCCGAACACAGCTTTGCATTTTTAAATGTCATTTGCACTCCTGTAGCAGCATTACATTCTCTTTGTTTTCCTATGTGCATTTTTGCTTGGAGAACACTGCTGCAAAACTTGTAGCAGTGTGGCCTTTAAGGTACAATTGAGTTTTGCTGGAATTGGGCCAGTCCTTCTTAAAATGTGAAGCCAACAAATTCTTCCTCCGATCCTGCACAGTCGTTTGATGGTGGGCCTTCAGCATGGTGCTTGAGCCTTCTCCCTGAACAGCTCGAGTCCCTGTAGATCAGTTGCTTTGTAGGGCAATGAGCATGTAGGTGGATTATCAAGGAATTTGCAACAGGGTGCCTCCCTCTATATCGAAATGGGGCTTTGGGCTCACAGCCCATGAGACGTCATTGTGACATCCTGCCATTTTCAGGTTGGCATCTGTACGTTGCTTTTCCCAACTTAGCTGGAAAAAGGCATAAGTCATATTTGGGCACAGTCCTGGCAACCCCACAATGGCATCCTGAGGTGTACCCCTCATCCACTACTGCCTGAGGGTAACCAAAGCTGGTGGGAGAGCACACTTGCTTTGCATTCAGAAGGTCCCAGATCAACTGTTGGCATCTCCAGCTAGCAGGCACTGTGCAAGATCTGCCTTGAGCAGCGGTTGGACCACCGCTGCACAGCCAGGCGATACTGGTCTGACTGGGCAAATCATTTGCCCTCATCTATGGTGGCACTATAGCTCAAAAGGGAGGGTTGCCTCCTTGGATACCGCGGGAGGTTTGTGGTCTTTTGCTAGGGCCTAATGCTCACTGCTGAGGGAAACGTGCCCTGGCCTTCCATTCACACAGACCTAAAGCACTTTAGGCAGTAAAAGAGTTATTCAGAAGGAAATAGAGGGCAGGAACAGGCTTTTAACCTGATGCTGTCTAGACCAGCCTTCCCCAACCTTGTGCCTTCCAGACACAATTGGACTGTAGCACCCAGAATTCCCAGTCATGGCCCTGCTGGATGGGAATCCTGGGAGCTGTGGTCCAAATGCCTTTGATGGCTGGGGAAGGCTGGCCTAGACAGCAAATGCCTATGACATTCCCACTTTACTATATATGTCTAAAGAGGTAAACAGACTTCTGCCTGATAATCTTATGGATAGATAGAAGTGGAAAGGAAAAGTGAGGGCCTCCAAGGCTGCTCCGCACCTGTTGGCTGCCCTGCACAGGAGGCTCTCAACAGTGGTCCCCAGTGGGGGACAAAGGGGTGCAAGTGCTCCATGTCCCAGACTGCTTTCCAGGTCTTGCCTATTCCTATTTGTCAAACCTCTGGTTCTTTCACTGTTTTCTGTTGTGTTTGCTTCTCCGGGAGGGGCCAGGAAAGGTTTTCCCCATTCCCCAGCCTTCTGCTGACTGCTTGGTGTGCACTTTTAGGCTCTTGATGGCCTTGGCCATCTTCCCATTGCAATCTGCAACATGCCCATGCCTGTTTTCTGTGGGTTAAAGTGTGTTCTTTGTCTGTGTTTGCTGGATGCTATTGATGGGGTGACTTTCAGGGGAGTGGTGTTCTTTTCTTCCCCTTCTGGTGACTTGTGCTTGCTTGGGACAATGGTTACCTTCCCTTGCCCAGTAATTTTGCATAATCCCTTGAAGAGAAATGTCTTGAGGTGCTACATGGCCTTTCCTTTGGAAAAATTCCATCCATTCATCCTTCTCATCTCCTTCACATTGGCTACCTTAGAGCAGTGTTTTGTACCTCCTGAACTCAAGTTTACCCAGCACAGCTGTTCTTATGGCATACCTCCAATATAGCTGCTAATTAATTATATACCCATGCTGCAGCTTCTCTACCCTGCAAAAGACTTAGATGACTAATTTTAGCTAAATTGTTTGCCCCTGCTTGTAAGGAGAGGCTGAGGTGCTGCTGGAACACCTTGCATATTGGCTGAACCCTGGAAAGCCTCCCCATGCCAACTCTGAGGTCGGTTTTGCAATGCTGGCGCTACAGCCTCCTCTTTCCAAGCTGGCTGCAAGGGGAGACGGAGGATGCACAGGGTCTGTTTCAGAGGGTGACTCTGGGGCTCCAGATTTTCCTGCGGACATCCATCTGTGCCTAGGGGGCCATAGGACTGTGCCCTCAGTGAATCCATCCCCAGTTTAGGGGAAAGCACGCAATTTCTTCAAGTAGCTCTCGATACAAATTTTCCCAAACAAACTGTTCTTGTTCTTTTAGAGATCATGAATGCACCTTGAGAAGAGTTCCCCCCATCTTCCTACGGATAACCTGCATTTTTTGAAAAAAGCACATGGGTGCATTCTGGATCCTGGCCATCCTTGGCACACGGCATGCATGAAAGCTGCTCTGTTTACCACGTCTCTCCCTGTCAAAAAGCAGATATACCAGGGAAAAGCCTCATTCCTGCTGTGCTAATTTTCCAAGAGCAGGACCTGTTGTCGTGTCAGATGGGGGAGGTTCGCCCCTCCAAGATACATTCTGGTCCAAAGTGGTACAATCCTGGTAAGGCTGTGTCACACGTTGTTTCCAGATGTGTGGATTCACTTCACTTCACTTCATTCTAAGTGTTTCTGTGACTCCTTACCATACTCCTGCCCCCATCACCCTCCAGAAATAGGTTTTTATCCTCCTTGAAAACATGTGCCTATATTCCCATGAACAATGCTTGGCAGGACATGCTCACATATGCACATACATGAATGAATTCATAATGAAGCATTTTCATTACAGAACATGCCAAACAGCTCGAGGGTCAAATTCCATATTGGCGAGACTCTCGGAGGCTACTTTCTTGTGGTGGATGGGCTGAAGGCAAATGGAACCAGGACAAGCAAATCAGAAAGTGTGCTAGCATACTTCAGCTTCAAGCTCCTCTAAGCCTCAGGAGAGGCAGTGCAGCCATCCAGAATGGAGGAAAAATCTACATAAAGTGGGGAAGCCACCAAACCATCAGCAGACTGGTGGGAGCAGGTGGTGCCAAGGGAAGGGAACATGGCGCACTGGGGAGGCCTCCATATTGGGCATCCAGGTTTGAGGTTCTGCAGCTGTGTAAAACTAGTCAATAGTTATAGAGCAACAGATTCAACATAACATGAGTGAAATATAACTAGATTCACTGAGATTTAAATAGAGAACAGTCTTTTCCTCACAATCCCTTTAATTATGCCTGTAGAACACCTTCTTAAAATTATCAAGATGTTACGTCCTTCATCTGTGCCCCCTCCACAGTCACATTCCTGAGGTGTAAACGGTAGAAAAGAAAAGAAAAGTAGATCGGAATGAGGTCTGTTAGAAAGAAAAAAAGTGTCAGGTCATCTGATAAAGCAATACTGCCATGTTGTACTCATGATATCTACAAGATAAGAATTATTCTGCTCCTTTCCCTTTGCATTGCTTAAGGCCAAGGAGGATTCTTCCCAAAAATGAATTCATTTCCTGCAACATCTCTTTCAAGACAAGCATTTCTGGCAAGTGTTTCATTTTTTTCTAGGGGTGAGGAGTTATACAATTTTGGGGTGTTAGTGCAGCTGGATGCAGCATTTGTCTGCTACTTCAGAATGCCCTGGGGATTTTAGGGTTAAATTGCACCCCCCCACCCCCAGTAAATGCAAGAAGCTGCAACTGCTCCATGGAAGTCCCAGCAAGCTGGGACTCTGAGCTGTGGGTAGATGGGGTGCTTCACCCTCTCCTTTGC